TAACAAACCAAAATCAATTTTAAACACCGGGGCAGGAGAGTGGCCATGGACTTCATGCATGGCTGGTTCCCTTTCAGCTAAAGAAGAAACAAAGTGATGGCGTCTCAAGTACCTTAGAGCAGAACAGAGCACAACCTTATGCTCGAGGATATTACACTATTGGCCTCAGGGGGAGAGCAATAGCTTGTGATGATCCACAGGCTGTCATCAGCTTTATCATCCACAAAAACAGCATTAAAGTGCATTATGTTACAAAATAAATGTTTGGATAATTGCTGGTAAGCAATAACAATTCCTTTCAATTGATAGCTTGCACAAGGCAAAATTGTTTCATGTGAACCTAAATCACAAAGCGGGGCTGCTTTAGAGGAGAGTGGCCCGTCCTCGCTGATTAAGATGTCGTAAATTTACTCCATTTCCCCAAATGAAATTCTGGTGTCAGGTATGTCCATTTTCCTCCCGTGGAGATCAATCAAAACCTAACAGCGAAATATAAAACTGTCTCCTAAACAGCAACGGGAGAGCACTCTGAGTGGAGAAAGCAGCACTCTGTGTAGCGATCACAGCTCAGCCAGGTTGTAAAGACGAATGTGTGCTGTGTGTGATGTTATCATACAGGATCGCTTTGTCCGTAACTCCAAACTGATAGACAGTCACTGTTTGCTTGACTTTTGAAAATAATTATTTTTCGGATTCAAAGTTTTGAAATAGTCTTCTTGGAAATATTATTATTAACTTGCTTTATAAGTTTGATGAAAAGACAATTATGTTGTTATGTGCAGAGCTGAAAGGCACATAAACTATCTTAAGCCCCATTCAGACAGGATTAACATTTCAGAGGAAGGTGAGGATTGAAATATTTGCCATGCTCCTCTGTAATTTAACTCATTGTTCCAGACAGCATTTCAAACATAATACAATTACAGGATCTATACTGTAATGGACATTCAGCAGGACAAAGCCAGAAGCCTCAAAGAGACGTGAGGCAAGACACCGACATGAATTCTGAGTCAAAAGTTGTCCTCCTTCTCAGAGTCATGACTCAGTCAAAACACACAGAGGCGAAACCAATAATGATATCATCTGGTGTGACTAAAGGTGCTCACAGACTTGGGCATACTATAAGCGGAGCGGACTCTGCGAGGAATGTCTGCAGTCATTCAGGCTTCCGTAGTCGAGCGCACTTCGGCATTGTAGTTTCCTGTAAAAATGTCCGTGAAAAATCCCCGCGATGTGAAAAATGCATGCCGAGCAGTCTTTTGTGTGACACTGCTGCGTGGAGCAGAGTCCGCATGGTCATAAAATCTGAGCTTTGCGCACACAGGGCTTGCGGACGTCCGCTTTTAGTCCGGGCAGACCTCCGCGGAGTCTGCCCCGCTTATGTTCCGCCCGAGTATGTTTGGGCCTTAACACTACCTGAGGATATCATTATCTAAGATGTTCATCACAAATGAACTTCAATAAATTTGCTTAGAAATCTTAAAAATCTCCTTAAAACTGCAGAACTTGGCAGAGAATCACTGTGTTTTTGAGTTCTATTTCATATCAGGTCAACACCGAGTAATTAAATGATAGCTGTCTGTATATCCATGGGTACACTGCAAAGTGTAACTTTTTATAGCTTATTTGGCACACCTTTAATGGAGCCAAATGTTAAAAAAAAAGGCTCTTTAGGGAATACCAGTACCTTCCTGTAACCCATCTGACAAGCTTTTATGGGGTCTACCTCTCCTGGTGGCTTTAAATTTTCTGTTGACATATTGGTTCCCAATTATGTCAATGTGTTGGTGTTAGGGTTGTCACGATACTAAAATTTCAAACTCGATATCGATACCCAGGAAAATATTCAATACTCGATACCATTTTCAATACAGCAGCAAAAAATTAAGAGGCATGTAATTTTTTAAATAAAGATCAGAACAGTAACATCAATGATAACAACAAAAAATCCCCCCAAAATAAATAACAACCAGAAACAAGATCTGTCCATACAAATGTATTAATCTACAGCCCTGTTTATTTTCTGTGCTTCTGGTGAATTGGCACCATATTTTTCAGAGAACCAGGGGTTACGGGAGAAACCAAACGTTTTTTCAGCTTCAATCTGTGACTTTACAGTTAACATAACTTTTCAGACACACATAATTGTGTTGTCCTGTTAAACAAACATTGTCTATTAATGTTACAGACGGGCATGACTGATAAAGTTTTCTGCTTAGCTCCCACATTAACGTTAGAAGTTATATTTTAGTTTGATGCTGGTGACACCAGCTGTTCAGCTGCTAGTGAGGGGAGGGGCTGTACCTGCCGTCTGCAGCGTGCTGTGTTCACATGCACAGCGACGACAACAAGCCGGGTTGCAGCGAGGACTCTGTGCCTGCCAGACGCTGCCTGCACAGCGCGTGTCCGTCGGACCCGTCGTGCGCACCCGACAGGCGCTGAGGTGGCGTGCACTGTTAGTATCGATACTTTTGTAAATTAGTATTGTATCCGGATACAGCGTTTGAGTATCGATACTTTTCAGAGTACTGATACTTTTGACAACCCTAGTTGGTGTTAGCATGTTTCAACTTATCAGACTAGCAAAAACAGGTTTTACTTACTCCATTTCCACACAAAAGTCAAATTTCACACATGTCACACAGTCAAAACAAGCAGTAGAAAAAAAACTACAGAGATCCACTTTAAAATAAAAAGTTGTCATCTCAGACAGGATTTAAATTACAGAAGGACCTGAGAGTTAAACGAAAAACAGTGGGTAAATGTGGCTGTAATTATTACTGAAGTGGGGGTAAAAAAAAAATGGGTGGCATGCCTTTGTTTCGATGACCCATTATTTCGAAACCTCAATTGTCAAAAACTGTCCAGTTCAACTGAAAGCCCATTTGTCATCCCATTATTCCTGAAACAAACACCCATTGCTCTGAAAATACACACTCTCCCTGCAGTTAAAAAGATTCATGACCTCCAGTCAATCAGTCCTGCCGCTATATTTTTTTCCTACGATGGCGAAATCATGACTCGCTCTATCTACTCTGCCTCTCATTGACTTACCCTGATATTCTTACCGTAAAACTCACCAGTTTCACTCCTCATGCCAAAACCAAACCAACCCAACCAACACAAGGATATTAGCCAGGCAACAAGCTCCAGGGATGAAAAATGAGCCAAGAAATGCAGTTCCTGAAATGGCCACTTGAGGCTGGCTCCAGAGGCCAGTCGATCCCCATACACCCTCATGTTAAAATGCCCAAATTTGAAGCAGAAATAAACATGCTTACACCCAGGTAAAATAAAATTTGTTTGGTTTTCGTAGCCTTATAATTATGCTTTTATATATATATATATAGCAAGGGCCTTGCTTTAGAGAGGTCGCCATCTTGCGCCGCCATGTACGTACGGCAGACCGAGCGGACAATCCAGCCAGCCAGAGAACGCGTTTCGCGTGTATAAATGAACAAACGAAGACAGCGGAAGGAAGGAAGAAAGAGGAGGAAACAGCAGAGAGTGTTAGTAGTTCGTCGATAGAGAGTAGTAAAAAGTTTTTTTAGTTATAAAGTTTGCGAATGGACCACACTTACCACGCAACAGGAGAGAATGAACCCGAACCGTCATCTGCGAGGAAAAGAAGCTTCACTCCTTGTGATGCACTCTCTGCGGCGCTTTTCCTCCTGATGATATATCTCCCCAACGATGGCAGCAGTAGCACCGAATCCCATTCTGTGCATTCAGCCTCTCTTCTCTCCCGCTCAGCATCAAACACATGGAGTTCCTCATCTGTATGCTCCGGCTCAAACAGGTATGGCTCTGGGTCTGTGTCCGCTACAAGAAACTCTTCAAAATCGCGTTCAAAGTCGTCCATTGCAGCTGCTATAGTCCGGAGATATTGCTAGGCTAAATAAACAGCTGAGCTCTGTTTACCGGCTACGCTGTCAGTCAGTGTGCAGGCTGGAGATTAGCGGAGCAGAGAGGGGAGGGGGGTCCCCACTTAGTACGGTAAACGAGTATGTGTTATGAAGTGTGTCTGTTACGCTAGAAGAGTCAGAGTTTGGGACGGAGTGGAGTGTTACCGGAGTTTCTGGAGTGCTCAAATAAACGGGCCTTTTTCCCGAACACTCCTCTGGTCTCCTGCTTGTGAGGGATTCATTACAATATCGTAACATGGTTTAGATTTCTAAATAAACATTCACCTCGTCGCTAGATAGACCTACTCCTGAAAAAGTCGTGCGCAAGGCTTTTTGTCCCTACGAGGCCACCGTCATTTACCCGATGGGAGGGCTGAGCGAGTGAGCCCTGCAATCTAGAATTTGACCACTGATGTCACTGTTTTCAACCCATTTTACACACTGGCCCTTAAAAAAAAAAAAACAAAAAAAAAAAAACAAGATGACACAAGTCCATTATTTTGTACAGTCTATGGTAATAGCAAGACTAGGGCAGGCCATGCCTTCACCATGGTAGGAAAAAAAAATGTCATCTGTCTGCATAATAATTAGTGTGCGCTTGTTTGGGAGATTGTGTATTTTCAAAACAATGGGCCTTTGGAGCAATGGATGTTTGTTTTCAGGTTAGTAGACTGTTGAACAAAAAGGCTTTCAGTCCACTGGGACATTTTCAGATTATTGGGGTTTTGGAAAAATGGGCAGTCCCCTGAAAAAATTACCCACATACTTGTAAGGTTAAAATCACCCCACCTCCACTAGCGCAATACATCCTGTCCAAATGGGGCTGTAGATGGAAGCAAGGGCAAACAGCTAAAACGGCTAACGTTCACATGGCTCTCTCCAAAGTTACAAAATATGCCAACCAACACCTCTACAGCTGAATAATGAACATGTTCTTTTAGGTTGAGTTACATGCTGTAAATATTCCTTATCTTACTTCCTGTCTCTATGATAATGACCTCTCAGCTCACTTCACACACAGACAAAAGAGTGGTATAAATCTTATCGTCAAACTCTCTAATTATCTACTTATTAACTACTCATTATCATTCTTACTTTATATGGTTCTCCAAACAAGTTGAATCCAGTTGAGAACAGATCTTCATCCTGTTGGACCTCCTGGTTCCTCCTCTCCCACTCCCTCCTCTTCAGGGCGCTGCGATCCGACTCCAGATGACTGCAAGGACACAAAGAGACAAGCTTGTTAGCATCTCCCGCTGAGGCCGACACATTGCCTGCCACCAATTAGACCCACTGGTTTTTAATGAGTACTGCTAACAAGTAATTTTTTGGATCTACAAAGAGCATTGGCTGAAATTCTTCTCCTGCTGTGTGATTAGAGTAGCTGGGTAGCTGGTTAAGGGAAATAACAGGGTGAATCATGTCTGAAAATGACTCAAATTCCACATAACACATAAGCAAGGGAGAAAGACAAATGAGAGAAACACTGAATCCTGGTTAAAGTATCAAAGTGACAGCAAGAAAAGGAGAATCCAACAGAAGATAAGCAATGTAGGTAAAAATATACAACTTGATTTATATAGCTGAATGGTTTGTTTAACATTACTAATAATATTTAGACATAGACTACTTATCAAACCTGGCTCTCTGACATGTCTCTGGATATGATTCGGTTTCCATTTACCTCACTTCCAACACATGCTGTCTTCCACTGAAACTAATATCCTGATAATCCCTTCTCTATTAAACACACAAACGGTGACCTAAGTGTTTGCACTGACAGTTTCACAGAATATATGGAATGTTTTCTGTCTCTTTGAATCAGCTCAGCGCTGACTTTAAGTAGTTATTTTTACTCTAGACTTTTGAATGAACTCCAGCAGTCTTAAATTTGACTTGTAAAGGCTGCTTGATCTTCAAACTCCCATAAAGTGCTCATCCCATGCTACTACTGACCCTTATGTCACCCAGAAGTTTCAAAAAAGCAATTGCCCGTAGCTCGGCTGTGCCTTGTATCTGTATCTGCAGGAGACAGTTTGATTCAAACACAAAATAGTTTTGAGTTTTGTTTGTCGGAACAAGATCAGCCAAGGTTAATATATTTCGAAATTCATGAGGAATAGTGCAAAGGTTGTTTCATTTAAAGTTACTCTTCCTATTTGCTGCAAAAGGTCTGGTGTGTCTTTAAGATGTGAAGGAATAGTGGGGAAAAACTAATTGTCCACACACAGGATCAATATCACACTCTCATGTCTGTGGGTTCAGCATGGCGCTGGAGCCAGGAGACATTTAGCTTAGCTTGGCATAAAGACTGGAGGGTGAAACAGCTAGCTTGGCTGTCTAAAGTAAAGTTAAAAAGTATTCCTAAATATCAAATATCAAATCTCATTTCTATACACAAGCAGAAATTTAAACAAGTTGGGGATTTGAGTGGAGTTATGGGGATCATGTAACTATCTTATTTCTTTAAAAGCAAGTATGTCCATCCACCCAGCACATCACTATACCCGACAAGAAAAAGTTACAGCATGTAGCTAACCCCTAAATATGAAATTTCAACAACATTTTTTTAAATTAATCCAGCTTTGAGACAGAGGGCTGCAGCAAGCAGCTGGGAAAGAGGCTACAATGTAACTACTTGGGGGCAGGTGCGCCCTGTCAGTTTACATCCATGAAAGGTGCCTGTTATTGCCACTGACAGGCTCAGATTATTATTACAAGTGTCTTACAACAGTAGCCTACAGACAGGACCCTACAGGAATGTAGACACAAAATCCAGTCCCTCCAGGATGTTGCAATATTGCAATCACAAAAATTACTGCACAACCTTGCAATTTGACCAGTCACCACAACTTAACCACTAATTAATTTTACAATATATAACGGGTAGAAGTATGACAAGTAGAGATGAGATTACATCACAGAGACTGTCCTTCAGCTCTGCGTTTAACAGCAACAGCTGTTTGTCAGCGATCACAAATAGATTCTAATTCTGTGCGAAATCCATGATAGCATGACAACTATTTTTGCCATTTTCAGTTGCCCCCCAGAACTTTGTAGAATAGTTGCTGTGAAATCGGGCATTTCTGGTCACAATAATCCCAAAAACAGTCCACAAAATCTTGGAGGGACTGCATAATGTTGTGAGACACTTATTAACAATCTAAGCCTCGAAGGAGCTCACCTGCTCTGAGTGATTAGTCTACACTGTAGCCTGTTTTGCCTCTACTGGCCTTTGTACTCTCACTTAACACTGAATCAGTTTTAAAAAACTGTTGTTCCTTCGAGTCACTCAGACACAAAAACATGGAAAATAGGGTCCAGGTTGAAAAATACTGGAGTTACCCTTTGAACCACAATTTGTTGTTTCTACACAACTGTTGGGTTGTTTCCCTGCTTCCAAGCCTCATGCTAATTTTATCATATCCTGGCTCCGGGTTAGCACAAAGACATGAAGGTGGTATTGATCTTCTTATGTAACTCTCAAAAAGAAACAACAAATAAAAAAAAAAACAAATTTCCACAAATGTTTAACTATTCCTTTCTACAGCCTGCGTTATACTAGTGAAACGCATTCACAATGAATGAGGCCAAAACCAGTCCACCAGTGCATAAGGAAATTCACTGCCTGAAATCATGACCAAGCATCTTTATATACATGCTATGAGGGGAACCAACACACACTTTATTGTTCATGCTGTTTAACGCAGCAGTAAATTGTCTGTTCCTACAATATTAGCCAGGGCTCAAAAAGGCTACCCTCTTACAGTTTTTCTATTTATAATAAGGTCAATATGATGTAACATATGCCATTAGCTGGGTACTTTCATTCATGAGTGCATTCATTTTTAACGTAGGTGGGCCCAGTGGGAACTGAAGTCCTAATCCAAGCAGTGTTTATGACATGCTGTACCCAGTGAACCACACCACACTGCAAAGGACAGAAGCATTTATGTCCTGTCACAGTGTCATTGGACGGATCCCAATAAAATTTGCTTTTAATCTTTCAGCATTCCTACACTACTGCTATCAACTATGCTTTTCTGTCTTCAAAGCCTGAATTATTGCTCCTGGGTATGATTCAAGATTGTTTCTTGTGGCATTTAAAATATGAGACAGCTGACAGTAAACAATGCTACGAATGACTGGAGAGTGGTCTGTAGGGATTAGAGAGGGTGGTGAACGCCAGGTTTTTAGAACATTTTTCTTATGTAATCAAGTGTTTTTAGCGAAAACCCCCTTTCACTGCACAGTTAACGATTCACCCTGCCCTCCTAAACTTTTTCAGTCACCAGCCTCCACTGAGAAATCTACAAGCTGGCAGCCAAATTCGAATCTCAGAAGTACAAAGTAATGTGTGTGCATTACGTGTGTGTGTGTGTGTGTGTGTGTGTGTGTGTGTGTGTGTGTGTGTGTGAGTACGAGTTACGCACAAGGCTGTGGCCTGCTGACCCCACAAAGGGCATCCTGTTTTACCACATCCACCGCTGAGAGATGAGACAGGCCGGCTAATTAGCGATCAACACAATTAAAAGAGACTTTCTCTATTTCTCCAGCAGACCTTGCCTTCAACATTTAGTCTGTCAGCAAGATGTGAGTGGGAGGGAGAAAGAGCGGAGAGGCAATGAGAGGAAAGGGGGGGGGGGGGGGGGGGCGGGGGGGGGGGGGGGGGGTTCACGGAGACCCACGGGAGAAAAAAAAAGACCCAGTTTCAGGGCAACAGACAGTCTCTTAAAAAGGAAAGAAAAATAACAGAATGATGAAAGACAGAGTGGAGGGATGGGGAGAGGAAGGTAGAATGAGAGGAAAGGAGGAGCAAAAGGAGCGGTGGGAATACCAGACAAAATGATTGACAGGTTAGGTGTTTGTGTGTGTGCATGTGTGTTACAGCAGTATGCGTAGACGTGATCATTGTGTGTGCTGGGACTGCTGGTTGACATGTGCATTGTCTGTCAGTGCAAAAAGATAACTGACAGAGCTGTCACTACGACAAACACACACATGTACAGTACACACACACACACACACACACACACAGTGCTGCAGTCCCATGCCACAGATCACTGTCTCCGTCTTTGTCTGTCACGCACTAGACGTTCACACAGAGGGAATCAGGTCAGATGAGGTAATTAACACATCCAGGATTTATTTCCCAGCATGCATCATGAACAGAGTACGACACTACCTGTCACACACAGGTTAAACTGCCGCTCTGCCTTTTTACACATCAATGAATAGTCCAGTACCTTTCAATCATATCCATGCAAGTGCACAGGTGGCTACTACAACTTGTAACTCATCATTTCTCCACTCATCTGTTCATGCTAACCCTACTTGCTGCAACTCACTCCACCACCCTGACATTATCCTTATGTTATATATTTTTTGGGGGTATTGTTGATTTAACTGAAATTTATTGTTCACATAACAAGGGATTTTAGTTCTCCTAGCAGAGTCCTTGTTGCCGCTTGGATTGTTTCAGAGCTTTTTTCAACTAAACCAAACCATTGACATTCACACTTCATTTGTCGCCAAGAAATCAGTTTACTGTATATTTTCTGTGTTTGTTTTGACTTAGGTACTTAGTTGGCAAAACTGAAATGACCACAAAGAGGATATCTAAGTTTTCTGATGTGCTAGGGCTGTGCTAGTTTCAGACTGACAATTGTCAGGTTTTCATCTAAATACAGCACAAATTTTAATTACATTTTCAAAAAATCAGCAAAATAAAATGCAAATCTATGCATAATTTAAAAAATGCAATATTTTGACATTTTCCAGTTTCCAATTTTTCAAAAAATGAATTTCTATACAAAACATAAATGTCTTCCTTTAACTTATGATACTTTTTGACAACCATGGAGAATAATACATTAATTACGTTATGCCCTGAACTACTTGGTGTAAGATTTAGCAGTATTTTGCTGAGGTAAATTTCTCTCATTTTCAATCTGATTCACTACACCAATAGATTAAAAATTCATCAAAACATAACTTATTTATGGTGATGCCTCTGCATTAAACACTTCAGTGACTTAACCAGCCACAGAAAAAGAGGAGAGAAATGAAACACTCCACAAGTTAGTCTTTTCAATGTCAACCCTACAGCTTTACCAATGCTTTTAGATAAGCAACATTATTGCTGAAGTCAGCTAATAGCGTTGCTAATGTGATGTTAGCTTCAGGCCCTCTGACTTAAAACTGCCTACTCGAAGCTAGTGCATTTCATTTGGCCTTATTAGCTTTATTAACGTTACGCGACTCACCAATTCAGGAGTTTCTCTTCTTCACTCAACAGGTTTCAGTTAGCAGAGCCTCTATAGTAAACATCTCAGGCTTATAACAAAGTCATGTTTGGCAAAGTTAAATTTTGTTTTCTCTTCTTTTGAAATCAAAGTTTTGCAGCATGCCCTCTTACTACCACTGACTCGTGTAAATTTACTGCAATGCGCAATTTTTTTTCCCCGTAAGGTGCCGAGTGCATGACCCGCCCTACTCTTCTTCTGATTGGCTAGTACTAGTTACCTTCATTAGTTTGATTGGTTAGGATTAGATAAAGAATATCAGGATAAACCAATCGGAGGCAGAGTAAGCCAGAGGAGGGCGGGTTATGCATTCACGGGAAAACAAACTGTTTTGGAGAAATATTTTGAA